ACAGCGCGAGAGGGAACACAAGCAGGGGGAGTGGGAGAGGGAGGAGCAGGCTTCCCGCTGAGCGGGGAGCCCGACGCGGGGCTCGATGCAGGGCTCCATGCGGGGCTCCATGCCAGGACCCTGGGATCATGACCTGAGCCGAAGGCAGACGCTTAACGACTGAGCCACCCAGGCGCCCCAAAGTCCAAATTCTTAAATACATCCGTTTATCTGATAAATGTTCTCCATGGATTAATTCGGTAAATCCTCATTCCAGCCCCAGGAATTTCCCCCATTTTACAGAGGAGGAAACTGAGGCAAAGAGACGTCAAGTGATGTGACCTTGGGGTCGCCTTGCTAGTAAGGAAGGGGTGGGTCTGGGGAACCCGGGCTGTCCCATTCCCAAGACTACCTTCCTAACAACCATCTAGATTTGCCACAAACCTGTGTCTGGTTCTGTTCTGAGTGGCCGCCTCTCCCTGAACCTGTGGTCTGTGCCCCCATAGATGCTGACGGGCAAGCCAGTTGCCCAGAAGTCATCCAGCGACCTGCTCGATGCCAGCATGGCCTCAGCCACCTCTCGTTACCTTGAGGAGCAGCAGGCCACACAGCAGGTGTGTGTGGCTGGCTGGGGATCCTGGGCTGGAGGAGCCTGGGGACGGCGCAGGGTCCCTTGCTGACAGCCGTTCCCACTCTTCCGATCTGCAGCTGATCATGGACCAACAGGACCAACAGCTGGCAATGGTGTCTGGGAGCATCTGGGTTCTGAAACACATGTCCGGCCGTGTTGGGGAGGAGCTGGATGAGCAGGGCATGTGAGGCCAGGATCCTAGGGGTGGGCCGGGAGCCCTCGGTTGGCTGCACTAGTGCGCACAGAATTTTGGGGGCTGACGCCATCTTGGTATCGACAGCATGCTGGATGCCTTCGCTCATGAGATGGACCACACCCAGTCCCGGATGGATGGGGTCCTCAGGAAGATGGCCAAAGTATCCCACATGACGAGTGGTAAGTCCCTCTGGGGAGGCAACTGGGGTGGTGCTGGGGGGCACTGCAAGGGTGGTACCCCGTCCCCCTGTAACCTCTGACCCTTTTGCCCCCAGACCGCCGACAGTGGTGTGCCATTGTGGTGCTGCTGGGGGTGCTTCTTCTGGTTCTCATCCTGCTCTTCTTTCTCTGACCCCGGCCCTCCCGAGGGCGCCGGTCCCTCCAGCCCGGGGAGTTGGCAAGGTCCTGCCCCCCCTGGGAGAAGCGGTTCCTTCCTGGGGAGCTGTCCCAAGGTTCTCATCCAGAGCCAGTGGGACCCTCAGGGCCCTGGGCCAGAGCCCCTGCCACTCATCCTGTCTCAAGTGCGCTTAGGAGGTGGTAGAGGTAGGGGAACCTCAGACACACTCCTCCCCACTTCTACTCTGGTACTCCAAAGCCCCTTGCTCCTGTGCCTTCTACACGTGCCAATTTGGAAATAAAAGCCCAGCCTTTTTTATACGCTTTTGTATCCTACTGTGTGTTGACTTGTGGCTCGTTAAGTGGGACTCCCGTTGGAAGCCCCCTGCTTGCACACCCTGTGGTGCCCAGGCGTGTACGCGCGTGTGCACTTGCGTGCACGCACGCGTGCCTATTAGGGATCTCAGTGGTCAGGATTCGATGCGGAAAAGACCATTCCAGTTCCTTTCTGGGTTTCACCACTGAGAACATTGAACAATTCCAGCCCTGGTTCTCCCTTGAGCTTTTGAAGTTTAGCCTCAACATCTTCTGCTTGTTCTGGGCCCTACCGTAGGCTAGCCCCTTAGCGGCGGAGCCGAGCGGTCGCTTCTGAGCGGCCCCGTAAGGCTGGGCTCCGTGGCACACCCAGTCGCTGAGGCAGCGGCCTTGCCAGAGCTTGCCTGAGTGCAAAATGATTCCTGTGAGCCGGGAAGACTTGTAAGTGCCGTGAACCTTAGCCCACCGCCTCGGAGGTTGGCATCCTGCGCAGCACACAGTCAGACAGCAGAACCACGCATCTCAGCCACCTGTTTACACGTTGCAAAGTGCTGCCTGTTACAAGGATGTCATCATGTCAGGCTGATCTGTCGGACCTTACAAAGAACCAAGTAGGTACAGGTTCCCTTTTTGATGCAAACCCACTGATGCTATGGTTTGGGTTCTCCTGATCTTTTTATACTTAGTTCCAAGTCTTCTTGGGGTTAGAAGACAAGAATTCTGGAATCAGATGGTGTTTGCACTTACCTGGGGCTGCCTACTTGTTAAGACAGATGAGACTTCCTGTTACCCGAGGTGACTGGTTTTTCTGTTGATGCTGCCGGCTCTCAAAACCCTACTTTCTGGCAACTGAGGCTGGGGCTGGTTTTCTTGAAGTACACCTGGGCCTCCCTGGGAACTGAAATCCCACTTGATCATCTCCCCATGATTCTGGATGTTCCCCCAATCAGGGAGTGGACGGGCCTGACCTGGGCAAGGGATGAAGCCTCCTTTCCCACCTCAAGGCAAATATTTTCTGACTTAATGGGATCCCTAACATCCGTGAACAACCTTCCCCCGTTACTAGAAACATTTCTGAATCAGGGGGACCCTTGGGCCCATCTGTGTCTTTTCCATCTGACTCGAGAGAACATTTTGTACTTCCCTATCCTCAGGACCTACAGCTCTCCAAGGTATTTTAAAGAAAGGATACCGGCTGAATTTAACTTGCCATCTCAACTCTTGTGTTCCTTCTGATGCAGGAGTGTGTGGGCGCACTGGCTCAGATGCAGTGAGGGTGTGGGTGTGTTCAGGATGTGGATCTGGGGCTGGGTGTGTCAAACAGCCACAGAACGGGAGTGAGCCAGTCGGTTGGTCATGCAGCCAATTCAGTGGAGGCCCTTCTTGGGGGCAATCCTGTGGGACCCTGACACAGGACCTAGGACCCACGCATGGGCAGAACAGCCCCGGGGCACTGTGTCTGTACACACCAGTGTAGCCAGAAGGGTGCTGCAAGTAGAAGCTCCATTTTTTAAGTAGGCTCCATACCCGAGGTGGGACTTGAACTCACGACCCCAAGATCAAGAGTCGCATGCTCTACCGACTGAGCCAGCCAGCCAGGTGCCCCGTTCTAGGGGGAAGCTACTGGCAGCTTGGGTTTGAGCCTGTTTCCCCATCTGAAAGGGGGACACTGCCCCTCCCCTCTCACACTGATGTTCTGGGATGTGATGTCTGGAATGGCTGTTCCCGAGCACACTGAGCCTTCGTGTGCAGCAACTGTCCCTTCCTGGGACCCACGCCCCCAGAGAGCAGAATGCAGCAGGGCTGTTACAAAGGCGTTTAGTTTATTCTCCTCATCAGTGTCACTGATATTCTCATGGTTCACATTTCCCAGTGCGGCTCCTCTCCTTACAGTAGTTAATGTGCAATCTCACTTACGGGCCCGGGGAGTGGGGGGTCGGCCCAGGGCGGGGAGGGCGTTGGCACTTCACACGGACAGGGCGGGCGGTCTGTCCTGCGTGA